CAAGTACTTAAAAGGACACTAAAGAGAAACATGGACTTGGTTTAGACTGATAAACTGCACTCTGAGACTCTAATGTCATACGCTCCACAATCATAAGTTAACTAGTGGACAAAATTACGGCTGAAGTTTCATTTTTAAATTTCACACCAAAATCTTCACGCATGACATAACAAATTCCAAAATTATTTTTGGTATTTTCACAATCTTGGCTTGATGAACTATTCCAAAACTTTGTATGTCAGGTCTATGGCACCTTCAGATGACAATGTACTTTATTTTTGTCATGTAGAAGCTATGCAGGAACAGTAGATGCGTTAAAAGTTTATTATGCCACGATGATTGACGCGAGAATATCACAGTGACGTCTATACCTTGTTACGTTTGACCCGGCAATTCGTCTGAGCAGACGCCACTGTGCATAAGCCGGTTTATTAGGGTGCCTTTCAACCCCATCAACGCCCAGTCTGCAAGACGCTGTCCTGTAGATGTTCCAGAAAGAAGTCGGGTCTCAAAAGCCTTTTGCTGAACGGGCTCGAACAGCGGGGGGTGCGGCGCCACTATAGCGGATCTCATTAAGTTAACCTCTCAACTCGGCTATTGTCATCTACGCGAGGCCATCGCAACGCAACAACAGCCCGGAAGCTTGGAACGCACATAATGACGCACCGGGTGCGTCATTATGTGGTGTACTTGTGCTACCATTGGACCTTTTCGCCCAGCCGAGTGGTGCAATATCTGCACCCTTTCTGGTGGGTGGATTACATAGACTTCGTCTCCTGATTACTGGCAAGAGAGGAGACCGCCTCCTTCGAACCTCAGTGTAGGGAGACGGCGGGCTATAAAAGCCGAAGCATTTTTGTAGATAGGGGCTGAATCATGCGCTGAATCTTGCGTAATCATGTGCGGAATCATGAAGTGAATCTCTGTTGTGCATAATGTGGGATCTTCTGGATCCCTGTACAATTTCCATCTTTCTTCTATAATGTAAAAAAACCTTCGTTCAATCTCTCTTAGTAACACGTCTCCTCACTGGCGAAATTGGGCCAGTTCACTGGCAATGGACCAGTTCAAAGAAGAGGCCTTTGTGGCATGAAGTAAGGCTCCAGCGGCAAAAGGATAGGCCACAGCGCACATCCTCGCAACAGAGGTTTAAAGCTTTGAGCAGACGGGAGTGTCGAAGAGGTTCTAGGAGAAAGGCTACAGTAACCAAGCACCATGCGGGTGCAAGCAGACAGAGGGCACGAGGTGTGACTCGCAAATCGGGAACGAGATGTGACTGCGCAGTTCAGCTGGTAGCACATACACCTCGCTGCCTCAGGTGTTCTCGAAATCCGCCAAGACCCAGACCGCCGCAAGTCCGATTGAAGTAAGAGACGGCTCTAAGCTGGAGAGTGGGGCACAGGAACTTTCTTAGCTTGTTTGCTTATTTTTGGTTTTAAAGTAGTATTCTTCAGTCATCTCCACGGCTAGTTTGCTTGGATACTTTTTTTTTCTCTTCTCATATTTGTAAGCATTGTAAGTGTTTTGAGTTAAGTTGTTATGCGGAAGCAGTGACCGGTGGGGGTCACTGCTTGTCATCAAAGTCAGGTCTCAACGAAAGCTTCGCGAGACAAGCTTTTTGTTGAACGGGCTCGAACAGCAGGGGGAGGGCACCACTGTGGCACCTCTCATTAAGTCAACCTCTCAACTCGGCTATTGTCATCTACGCGAGGCCATTGCAACGCACCGACAGCCCGGAAGCGGGGGAACGCGTCGAAGAAGCTGTTCTTCGAGCATTTGGACTGCCATGTTCGAGAGAGTTCTGGAAGCCGGTAGCTGAAAGCAGTTGTGGACCACTGCTGACATTCGGGTCGGCGGCCATCTCCCCTGAGAAGCTCAACTTTTCCTCTGGACTCTACCTCCTCGCCTTGCGGTGCCTTCAATGCGTGGGCTGGGTGCATCATTATGTGGTGCGCTTGTGCTACCATTGGACATTTTCACCTAGCCGAGTGGCGCAATATCTGCACCCTTTCTCGCGAGTGGATTACATAGACTTCGTCATCTGATTAGTGGCAAGAGTGGTGACTGCCTCCTTCAGAACTCCGTATAAGGAGACGGTGGGCTATAAAAGCCGAAGCATTTTTGCAAATAGGGGCTGCATCATAGGGACTGAATCTCTGTGTTGTGCATAATGCGGGATCTTCTGGATCCCTGTAGAGTTCCTATCGTTCTTTTATAATGTAAATAAACCTTCATTCAATCTCTCTTACTAGCACGTCTCCTCACTGGCAAAGATCGGCTATGCGGACAACGGCGGGGAGCCAGCTACCCTAAAGAAGCCCGCCGTTCCTGCCATCGACTTCGAGCCCTTTACGAATGGTGGAAGCGGTGAAATGCCATCATCGACTTCCTACCCTTAACAACCTGCCTTTTCTGTTTGCACGTTTTCTTGCTTATCATGCGTCATGTCACAGTTCCAGTGGTGTTTTCAGTATGGTGAAATGGTACTTCATCAATGTGCGAAAAATTGTTTTGATCTTTAGTGTCCCTTTAAACAGGTCAAAATAGTAAAGAACTAGTACATAAACTTCAAAAGGTGCAGAACAGAGAAGTTTCCCTTATCCTTGGCAATTATGACAAGATGCTTAGTATGACAGAGTACAAAAGGTCAAAGTCTCAGATTAATGTATCTCCATGGCATTTATCATTCAAAAACAAAGATTATCAGGCCATTGTATTTTCAACCACTGAACTATGTTTCTCAAAAATGCTATCACTACTTAAAAATAGCTGATATTCCTTTTAAGGGATGACACTTGCTACTACTCTTTCTTTGTTCACACTAAAAAATTGGCACATTCTGCCACCAGAAATTGTCTGAGTTAGTCTGTACGGTGAAGCAGGTGCTTAATAAATAGATAAATGGCACATGAGTAGTGAATTTTAGTAGTACACTGAGGGAATAGAAAGCCACACCTACACTTGCATGCGATGTGCTGTTAGCTTCAAGTGGCTCCACGGAGCAAGTGTTCGGCCAGGGTGTGTGCTCATAAATTGACGATGAAACAACATAGCGTCGAACCCATCCAAGAAGCTACCGCTTGTGAAGCTGGGTCAGTGGCTTTAAAGAGCAGCATTGAATTGTTCGAACCACTCACTTCTGTAGCTTCCATGAACGTAGCCAAGAGGGGGGGGGGGGGGGGGTAACAGTCTTTTTTTGAAATTTCTGCCTCTGTTGTTGCCATCCTTCTTCCTTGACATTCTATGCACTGTTAACACATTTTGAAATGAAATTTTTCAATTTCGCTTGCATATTATTATGCACCCAAACTCACTCAGACTCGTGGCTCAATGAGAGTCCAAGTGAGTCAGTTCATGAGAGTTTGCTGACCTATGATCAAAATGACACTGAATCTGCCAGTGTGACTGGGCTATAGGGCTGCAACATTAGGCTTGCTCTTTAGTGAATACTCTGCTACATATCAAAATTAAGCATGGGCTCTGCCACTGCATTTTAACCTACACTGCACACAATTCAAGTAAGAAATGTAAAACACATTGGTGAAGTGTGCACGCATTAGTGTGAAGGAAATTGCCAGTCTTTGCTGCTGGCACCAACAAGGTGCCACTGCAAGTAGTAGTAGTGGTGAACGTTTCAAGGGATTCAATGATGCATCGATGAAAAGGGGACCCAGCATAAGAGACACCCCAAATGATGGAGCACGCTCAATCGGAGGTGTGTCTTATTATGTGGAGTGACATTACACATCAACCACTCAAAGCCACACGTGATGTGGACGTGAAAGGGTGCCTCCATTGCCGGGTGAAACGCCATCGAGCATTTAATGCAAACATTTGGGCACCTTGCTTATGTAAAACAGCTGCACTGAAGTCTGGTTGCTTCAAGAAACGCCTTTCCCACGTTACCATCGAATGGTTTCATTAAAAGTTTATTGACTCACGAATCGAAAATATTTAAAATCCATCAATAAGAGTGGATGTACAGATTTTTCTCACCGAGAGTGCCTCTCAGAAGGGGAAGGACGGCACGGGGAAGAAATGACACCATGGCTTTGAGCACCTCTTTTTTTTTTTTTTTTTTCAAGCGCACAACTTACTTTGGGCAAAGTCACAAGCACATGCTCGTGGTAACTATGCTGCCAAGGACGCTCTAACCAGTCAATGGCCACAAATTTGGGTGTACAGCATCAGCTGTTGAACGAAATGCGAATGACTTGTAGCTGACTTGAAAAATTATTTGTAAAATCCAGGCCACGTACAGCGCTGTAATGCTCGACTCACAACACACTGCCTCGGCTACTGCATTTCTTGACCATGCTGAAAAATTATGGGGCCCTTTTAAAGGAGTTCATTGCCCTATGAACTGACTGTTGCAATATTTTCCAGAATCCATCCAGTAGAAGTGGAATTACCGGGATTGGTTGCATGCTTCGGGCATTCTCTCCTTTTACACCAGCGAGCACACCAAAAGCTACACAGGCAGGGCATCACAGGAAGCTATGTCCATTTGTAAGCATGCATCAAATTTTGAGCCTGTTTTTTTGTCCTTAAAATGTGCGACTTACCTTTGGCGTGATTATGAGTGAGCATGTGAGCGCATCAGGGCCTCCTGTGGTGGCCAGGGTAGCCATGATTCTCAGATCAGCCAATGACCGTAGACTTTATGTTGATCATGCAGCCATTTTGGCTTAAAGCATCATTTGTAAAAAGGAAAGAATTTAACCTAACGTCGAGAATTGTACATTTCAAACTGTGCTAAAATGCTTGCCTCGCATATTCTCGGAAGCCTCGACTGCCCATAGGCAGCTATTTGTGACCATGATGAAAAAGCATCGCAGGGCCCTTTGAAAACCCAGAGTAGGCATGATGGGCACTGCTGCATATGCACTCACAATGCCACACTTCTAAACATTTGACATGACGGTCTTCATGTGTTTATGTAGCAGACAACTCATGGTTGCACTGAATGCCCAGCGACAAGGGATGGTACCAAGGCTCACCCGTTGCTGAAATGATGTCCGGAATGACTGCCTGAAAATCGTGGCCCACACGCATGCCATGGTCTGGAAAGAAATTAAAAAAAAAACAATGTAAGAATTTTGATATTGTAACGGTCACTGTTTTGATATTAATATTTTGATATTGTAACAGACAGGTAACGGGTTTGTCCACTGTAGAACCACCGGTTCATAGTGGAACGTGAGAAAATACTTGAAGTAAGCTACACCAGTCAAGTTAAGGCATCCAGTGAGATTGCCAGAAACGACGTCGTTCGAGTACGGCAAGGCTGCGCGCATTCGGAAGTCGACACTTACACACCACGAAATCGCGACTTCAGAGGCAACACTCGAGCAGAGGCGGCAGCTTTCTTCATTAGTGGCACCGAAGGGAGGATAATCCTCGGCAACTACAATGTGTTTTTGTTTACCGCCGAGAAGGAAAGACCCCGTCACAGCCACCAACGGTCAGGCAGAGGTTTTTGCCGGAGTTCGCACCGCGAAGGACCGCGGAGCTGATTCAGGACGAGGACACCGGCTTGAAAAGTGCGCCGTCGGTACGGTCGCCCGATCGAGTACTCTGCTCGTGCCGAGGACTGAGACGGTTGCGAGCGCCAGAGGCAGGATGCCGTGCACGGACAAAAAAAATAAACAAATAATCAGAGAAAAACGTCATGCGCGACAGCGAGGCGCTTCGATTCGAAGATTACAGCGCCAAAAAGTGGAAGTCTCTTAGGAGGCTTTACCTTGTTCGGACTCGTCGGTAGCGCTGCCTTCGTCGGTGAGGTGCCCGTTCGGACTGGAGGTGTGCGACCGGCGGCCGATGCGAGAGTCGTCGTTGCGATCGGCCAGCACCATCTTCCCTCGCCGTAGAAGCGCCGCTGCCTCGGACTGCAAAGAACTAGACCAGGCACGGCGAAGCCAAAACTCTCAAGCTGCGGAGGATCGCTTACGAAAAAAACTCCGCAGGCGCGACGCACTGCACTGAACAATCGCCGAAGTAGAACTACGAGTGAGAGCGCTGTCGGGGCGGTGCGCACTGAACACCCCGCGCAGAAAAAAATAGTTCTCTAAAAAATTGTCCTTTAATTGATTAGAAGTGCACCTTCTTCCAACTTACTTTTCAATCTAAATTTTACACTTTTCGGACAATTTAGATATGTTGTTTTTTGTTGAAAAAAAATTACAAGTTTTAACTTGTGAAAAGCTACTGTCAGAAATGATACTAACACCACCCAATAGCTCAACTTCTAACGCTTTAATTACTGCGCACACAATTTTTAACCGGCAACAATCACGCTCTTCGGCATCAGTTATGCGTGTGAATTCATTTTACGAAAATGTTTAGATAAGAAAGTGTGGTTTAACCAAAACATCAGACCACAATTGCGGTCCCCACTGAGGGGTTAGTATCACAACGGCTCCGTACTTTTCTCAGAGCCCACAACGCAATATTCGTCCGCCTCGCCAGCAGGGGCTCCGAGTTCGCACTTGTTTGTCGGATAGAAATGTGTTCGGTTTGTAACAACAAATTCCGAGGACAGTTTAGCGCATAACAGTGCTGCTGTCGATGTTTCGACAGCGCATAGCGCGTCTGCGTGTATTTTCGGGCCATATTTATAGCAATATAACGCTACGTGTGCGAGCTAGCTGGCTTTCTCGGGGAAAGCTTCCATCTTCTTGGAGCGTTAACCGCAGCAGTGGCGGCTTTACAACACACTTTTGCATTCGTTGGGACCTCCGGGGGTCGTGTTCTGTGCCAGAATCCACAAGCGAATAACTGTCACTTTTCGCGTGAAGTGTACGGGGCACTTCCGCGCGGTGTCTGTGTGTCGCAATCACCGCGCAGTTAGCTGTTACCCAAAGCATCGGGCATAAGTAAATATCATTTTGCACATATGTGAACCACTCGATTATAACGCCACTTTCGTGCAAGCTTGACTTCGTCAATTCCTTCGTAAGAAATATTAACTAGCTATGCAAAAGAACCCGCGCTCATCACGATGTTTTGACGACACGCGTACGTGTTACGACTACAAGCGTTAATCACTGGTCAGGTACTGATCCCCATGAATTCAAGCGGGGAGGATGCCACACCCCTAAGTGGCTGGGCGAGACATATGGTCTTTCAAACAACGTATATCGCTTGTAAACTATTAAACTTTTAATATTATGCGTACCCCCTTGTCAGCACCCGTGTGTGACACACTGAAATAGCAACAAGCTCGCACTCGTTTTTCAGTTTTAAGATTTCAGTTTAAGGGTAAAACGTAAAGATTTACGTTTCTAATAACTCATCACCCACGATATCTTCATAGTTTTACATATCATGTGCACGTACGTGCGCGTACGTGCACCCTGTAGAGTGTGGTACGTGGGCAACAAAAATATGTTCGAATTCGTACCGCATCACCATGCATGCGTGCGGCAAGGCAGGTGAGACATGACGTGCGATTACGTATGTTCGCTACTTTAATTCCCGCGGATACCACCTCGATGTTCACGCGTGCGAGAACGATCGAGAACCTATACACGTACCATGGAGTTAGTAGCTAATATGCATGCGAAAGATGATGTCATATGCTCTTCTGTAAGGGGGTGACCGATAGAAACACCACGTACGCACTATGGGTCAGTTCGATGGGTGTATCGCATTTATTTATAACCAGTGCGCATATATATATATATATATATATATATATATATATATATATATATATATATATATATATATATATCCACCAGCCTTCGTCATTACTCTGACGAAGGCTGGTCCACCAGCTGAAAACGTTTAGTAAAGACGCTTACACGAAAGTTTCGTCGTCTCTTTCTTGCCTATATATATATATATATATATATATATATATATATATATATATATATATATATATATATATATATATATATATATATATAGATGATCAGAGTTTCTTCCGGCTACCGTAAAAAAAGTTATAAACTTCGAGAATAGTGCAGTATAGGAAACAAAACAATAAAATATTTATTTAATCCTAACAGTTTCGGCTGGTTGACCAGCCTTCTTCGGAGGATGTATATATATATATATATATATATTGAAATAACTTGAAGATAGCACATAAGAAAAGGATCGTATTTACTAACGTTTCGGCCGTGGCACGGCCTTCTTTCCCTTATATATATATATATATATATATATATATATATATATATATATATAAGGGAAAGGAGTGTGTACCTAAGGGCTCGTTTTTCGGTGTTTTTGACACAAAATTAATGAGATCTAACTGACAGTAATGCCAAGGAATGTACAGGGGAAGTTATTAGGACCAATGGAATGTAAATAAGAAAGTAAAGTGAATCGAAAATAACTAGCCGTGAGCAGGAATCGAACCTACGACCTTCGAATAACGCGCTCGATGCTCTAACCACTGAGCTACCACAGCGGCGTTCCGTTCATCCAGTTTTTTTTGTTGTTTTTTTTTTGGGGGGGGGAGGGGGGTTATATGTGAATTTAGAAGTAGGAGTGTCAGTCAGCGCCGTATGAAAAAATTCGGCCATTTCGAAACAACATATAAAAGTCAGAACGAAGGGCATTCGATGAACTACGAAAAAACACTGGAATTACTATCAAACCGGCTGATAAAGGGGGCTGCATAGTAATTCTAAACACGTCGGACTACTTAAAGGAAGGGGAACGACAACTATCAGACACAAAATTCTCCAAAGAACTTACAACGGACCCGACTCCCGAATTTGAAAGGGAGATAAAAGTAACCCTAAACAATCTCCGCCGGGACGAGAAAATTACCGGCAAAATGTTAAAAGCAATGTTACCGGCCCATTCTGTTCCCGGTTGATTCTATTTGCTCCCCAAAATGCACAAGGCAGGCCATCCGGGACGTCCGATAGTATCCAGTAACAGCACATCAACAGAAAATATATCAGAATTCATCAATTCCTTTATAAAAAATATCCCCCCAAATTTTCCCTATTACCTAAAGGACACAAACCACTTCATCTGCGAAATTTCAAGCCTCAACATCCCAGGCGGCAGTTTTCTGGTGACCATGGACGTCTGTTCACTGTACACCAACATACCCCACTATGACGGAATAGCGGCTATGGTTTCTGAATATGTAAAACCTGACTCATCAGCTAGTGTAAGTGGCGAGGTACTGCTTACACTTCTTGAGCTTGTACTAAATTACAACCATTTTGAGTTCAATGGCAAGCATTTCCTTCAGGTCAGTGGCACTGCAATGAGCACGAAAATGGCCCCAAACTTCACGAGCACCTTTATGGCTTCACTTGAAATCCCATTCATTGAGGGATGCACCTTGAAACCTTTCTACTACAGAAGATACTTAGACGATATTTTTATGATATGGAACCATGATGAGGAAAGTCTTTTCCGCTTCATAGAGGATTTTAACAAGTGCCACCCGTCAATGAAATTCACGCACAAAATTTTCAAAACTAGCATTAACTTTTTGGACGTCACTGTCACGGTCAAAAATGACCACCTGTCAACAAACCTTAACAAAAAACCTACAGAACGTCAAATGTACCTACATTTCAACAGCAGCCATCCAAAGCATTGCAAAATGGGTATTCCATATTCTCAGGCCTACCGGTACCGAAGAATATGCACCGATATGCAGGAATTTGACAGACACGCGGAACACCTAAAGCATTCCTTATTGAAACAAAATTATCCGGAAGACATTATTGACGATGCCATACTACGTGCTCGCAACGTGAACAGGAATGATATGATTAAGGGACCAAACAGAGTATCTAAAACGACTTCCCAAACAAACCTTGTACTAATTTACTCCTCATCAGCGCCACGAATCAACAACATACTTTCCCGCCATTTCAACATAATCAGGCAAAGCAAACGACTATCTTCTATTTTAGCGAAGCCACCTCACGTGGTGTACCGTAGGGATAAAAATTTGAAGGACATGTTTGTCGGAGCAAAAACAAACACCCCCAAATTTCAATCAGGGTGCCATCCCTGCGGAAAAGCTCGATGCAAGATGCCCACAGATGGTCACAACACGTGAATCCAAAGCGAACTTCTCAGATTTCAAATTCTGCACAACTGAAAGCCTTAATTGTGACTCCAGTAACGTAATATACATGCTACATTGCAACATCTGCGGACAAGAATATATCGGCCAAACAGACACGCCCTTTCGGCTGCGGTTCAATAATCACCGGTACCGTGGTACCGGCGGCGTACGCCACTTCACTGCCGAAGCTACCTTTATCTAGACATCTGCGCCTGCCAAACCACAGTTTTGAAAATATCAGCGTAACTCTTTTGCAGTCCGGTTTCTCAAACAGACGCGACCGCGAACAGCGTGAGGCATATTTTATTTTCAAATTTCGAACATTAGTAGCCAGCATCAACGAGGACCCCGGAAAACTCAACTGCCTCCGAGAAGTAAGCCAGGAGGAAATTGGTGACAAAGATTGATAGCTGGAGACCATGCTTTTTTCTGACTGACTCGTACGTGTACACTGTCCTTTCTTTTCTTATTTTTTTTTCCTTTTTTTCTTCCTGTTTTTCTTTTTCTTTTTTTCACATGCACATACAAAGTGTTTACGTTCGCCTACCACTTGATGACCATTGAAGGGAAAAGGACGAAGATTAAAGGTAAAGAGCCGACCGACCCATTAGGGGAAACCCTTTCTTTACGAACGCTGCACGTCGACCGACCTATTAAGGGGAAACCCTTTCTTTACGCACGCCGTCACGGACCCTCCCGCCACCGCGGCGACAATCTTGGGTGGCCCGACACACGTCGAGAACTGAACAGCACGTGATAAGAACCGTATGTGGACGTACACGGACAGTTGGTTTCGTTCTCAGTGTTGACAGTGGTTCTTCCTCTTTTTACTTTCTTTCTCTTTTTTTTCTTTTCCTCTTTTCTCTTCCCCCTTTTTTGTTTTTTTCTTTCTTTCCTTTTTCTAGTTCCCTCTCGTTCTCGCAAACATCTTTCAAGGCGAGAGGGACACGGCAGCAACGAAGTTTGGAAGTTCGTGTCAGTATAAC